ATTTTCAATAGCTACATAACAAGTATATATATTTGTTGTAATTTATTTGATCATTCTCCTAGTCTGAGCGACTGCCATTCCGTAACTTTTGCTATTATAAATAACTATGTAATGAAAACCTGCATATTGATCTTTGTTAGTGGAATTATTGGATAAAATGGAATGAGCATTTCTTAATGAAGTTTACTTGCTTTCCAGAAAGATGTGGCAAGTAACATGCTACCAGCAGTATTATCCAACTCGATGAAACATCACTAACATCATGTTTCTTAAAATCCAAGTTATATATTTTACAGATACAGTAAGATGTCACAGACATAGAATATGCGATGTTTTAGTAGTTAACTTATGATACTGAATTCACACTAATGTAATTTAGCTAAAAGTTTAAGTTTTATTTGGGAAATTAGAAGTGCAAGCAAAATTACTGGTGCCTTAAAAAGAAGAGATGACCAGTAAAATATCTGTTGACAGTTTAAAGTAATAAAAGAATAAATTGAATGAAAAAACAAACAGCCTTAAAAATCAGGATACTTGAATTCTAAGCCTAGTTTGCCACTGTTTGCAACCCTAGGTAAATTTAAACACCCTTTCCTAACTCGTTTTCTTAACCTCTACAATGGATACAACAGTAATATCTATTCCTACTTCACAAGGATTTCAGAAAAATAAACAAGAAGGAAATAAAACAATGCTTTAAAAACATACTCTCTGAAGTCAAATTGTCTAGGTTCAATTCTTTGCTCTGTTACTTATAGGCTGTGTGACCATGGGCAACTCATTAATTTGTATGTCAGTTTTCTCAACTATAAAACAGAGATTATACTTAACTCATATAATTGTTGTGGAGATTAAACAAGAAAATCCACAAGAAAGCACTTTGAATCCTGCTTGATACGTGGTAAGTGCTCATAAACATTAGATGACAATTATTAATATATGTAAAATTTACACATAGGTAAAATAATGGCTTTTTAAGATCTACTTGGCAGACAGATCATTTAAATCTCAGGTGTTCTAAATTTAAAATCAACACACTTGAAAAATATAGAGCTATAAATTTTCCATAATTTTTAGAGCCTGAAAGAGCCAAAATTTATCACAAATAAAATATAATATCAACAAAATAACTTTCTTTTTAAAGAGAATATTCTTTTTGTGGCTATTTACTTAACTGGATCCTTCTCTCCCATCAAGTCTTAGTTCAAATGTCCCCTCCTCAAGTCACTCCTACCTACTCAAATTATCCTCTACTATATCATGTAGTTTTCACACTCTGTAGTTAACTTATTTATTCATTATTACCAGTCTCTTCCCACCAAAACGTAAATTCCATGAGAGAAGAGGCTTTGTTGGGGATCTTAGTTCCCTCACCAGCGTTCGAACCTGCACCCCCTGCAGTGGAAGCGTGGAGTCTTAACCACTGGACCACTAGGGAAGTCCCCGAAGCTTAGTCTTTTCTATCTCTACAAAAATACTAATTTCTGACACTCAATAAATATCTGACTGAACCAACAAATTGATGATATAATAGATGGTTAGGCACTGAAAGAGTTGGAATAAAGACTACAAAATTTCTTCCTCAGAAAAAATGGCCATCTAGATTAGCATTTCTCAAAGATTTTTATCATGACCCACAATTAAAAATACATCTTATATCAAGATCCAGTAAGCACACATACCCACGTAACTAAAACAAGTCTCACACAAAAGTACTATGATGTGTGATAAATTCTGATATTTTCGATTTCATTTAAATATTCTATTCCTTTTCACTGAAAATAAAATTATTGTGGCCCACTACACTGATTTTATATCACATTACTGTGTAAAGACTTGAAGTCTGTATATTGTACAGCACAGGAAATATAGCCAATATTTCACAATAATTTTAAATGGAGTACAGTCTATAAAATACTGAATTACTACGTTGTACACCTGAAATTAATATAATATTGTAAATCAACTATACTTCACTTAAAGAAAAACAAAATAATAATAAATAAATAAAAAAAAGACAAAGTTTGAAAAACAGTGGTCAAGTTCAGAGGTTATTCGCTGAAAGGCATTAAAAATAGTATGCGTGGGAAGGAAGAAATAAAACTGCCTTTGTTCATAGATGTCATGATTATCTTATGTAGGAAATCTGAAAGAATTGAAGGAAAAAAAAAAAAAGGCAAACCTCTCCTGGAACTAATAAGCAATTATAGCAAGGTTGTAAGATACAAGGTTAATATGCAAAAGTCAATTGCTTTCCTATATACCAGAAATGAACAAGTGGAATTTGAAATTAAAAACATAATCCTACTTATATTTGCACCCCCAAAATGAATGCCTGTGACATAGTACAAAAGCAACACAATGGAGCAAAGATCATCTTTTCAACAAATGGTGCTGGAACAACCAGACATGCACATGCAAAAAAATAAATCTAGACACAGACCTTACACCTTTCACAAAATTTAACTCAAAATGGATCACAGACCTAAATGTAAAACACAATACTGTAAAACTCCTAGAAGATAACACAGGAGAAAACCTAAATGACCTTGAGTATGGTGATTCCTTTTTAGATATAACGCCAAAGGCATGACCCATGAAAGAACTAACGGTTAAACTGGATTTCATTAAAATTTAAAACTTCTGCTCTGTGCTTCCCTGGTGGTGTAATGGTTAAGAATCCGCCTGCCAATGCAGGGGACAGGGGTTTGAGCCCTGGTCGGGGAAGATCCCACATGTCACGGAGCAGCTAAGCCCGTGCGCCACAGCTACTGAGCCTGCGCTCTAGAGCCCACGAGTCAGAACTACTGAGCCCACGCACCTAGAGCCCGTGCTCCACAACAAGAGAAGCCACTGCAATGAGAAGCCCACGCACTGCAACAAAGAGTAGCTTCTGCTCGCCGCAACTAGAGAAAGCCTGCGCACGGCAATGAAGACCCAATGCAGCCAAAAATTTTTAAAAATGAATTAATTAATTTAAAAAAAACTGCAAAAAAAAAAAAAAACCTTCTGCTCTGTGAAAGACAATGTAGAGAGACTAAGAAGACAAGCCACAGTCAGGGAGAAAATATTTGCAAAGATACAACTGATAAAAGACTGGTATCCAAAAGAAACAAAGAACTCTTTAAACTCAACAGTAAGAAAACAACCCGATTAAAAAATGGGCCAATGATCTTAAGAGACACCTCTCCAAAGAAGATATACAGATGGCATATAAGTATATATAAAGATGTTCCACATCATATATTATCAGCAAAATGCAAATTAAAACAATGAGACACCACTACACACCTATTAGAATGGCTAAAATCCAGAACACTGACAACACTCAATGCTGGCGAGAATGTAAAACACAAGAATTCTCATTCATTGCTGGTGGGAATGAAAAATGGTACACCTACTTTGGAAGACAGTTTGGTGATTTCTTACAAAAGTAGACATACTCTTACCATAAGGTCCAGCAAACGTCCTTGTATTTACCCAAAGGAGCTGAAAACTTAAGTCCACATAAAAACCTTCATGTAGATGACTATAGCAGCTTTATTCATGATTGCCAAAACTTGGAAGCAACCAAGATGCATTTCAGTAGGTGAATGGATAAACTGTGGTACCTCCAGACAATGGAATATTATTCAGCATTAAAAAGAAATGAGCTATCAAATCATGAAAAGACATGGAGGAACCTTAAATGCATATTACTAAGTGAAAAGAAGCCGTATCAGAAAAGGCAACATACTACGGTTCCAAATATATGACATTCTGGAAAAGGTAAAATTATGAAGACAATAAAATTATCAGGTTCCCAGAGGTTGGGGATGAAGGGAGAGATAAATGGGTAAAACACAAAGAATTCCTAGGGCAGTGAAAATACTCTGTATGATATTATAAAGATGGATATGTGTCATTATACATTTGTCTAAACTCATAGAATGTACACCAAGAGTGAACCATAATGTAAACTACAGACTTTGGGTAATAATGATGTGTCAGTATAGGTTCACAGTTTTAACAAATGTACCGCCCTGGCAGGGCATGTTATTAAGGAGGGAGGCTATGCATGTGTGGGTTGAGAGGGTATATGAGAAATCTCTGTACCTTCCCCTCAATTCTCCTGTCAACTTAAAACTGCTCTAAAAAAATAAAATCTTAATTAAAAAAAAAAAGAACATGCAGTTTTATGTATATGTAAAATTGGGGGTAGGGCAGGGTTGTCATAATTTTCAGATTCATGAAGAGGTTCATGTCCCCCTAAATCTAAATCTATTACTATATGTTCATTATTATCTGTGAGGCACTACACAAAAATATGTATAAAAATATGGCTTAACATAGGGATGGCAGTATATGATAGGAAAGAGGATTGACTCTGGAGTCTGGTAAGTCTTGGGTTCAAATCCTGAATTCATCATTTATCGACTACAACCTTGTACATATTATCTTACCTATCAGCCTCAGTTTTCTTATCTAAAAAGGAGTTTGCATATCTACTTCATGAGGTTAGGTAAAATAAAAATTATGTGAAACATCCATTATAGTGCCTGGAATATACGCTAAGTATTGCGCTGGCCAAAAAGTTCATTTGGGTCTTATGGAAAAACCCGAATGAACTTTTTGGCCAACCCAATATTTCAATAAATTGTAGGCATCATTATTATATTCTAATGTTTCCAACAAAATTAACTTCCATTGACAAAATACAATCCTAAACAAAGTACAACTAAATTACAAAGTGTAAATTAACAAAAAAACAGATTATTCATGTATATGTGGAAATTATATTCCAGGATCTTACTTTTTCTAACAGCTAATACTGCTGTGTAGGAATAATTACAACCTGCTCCTCCAAGTATGGATTTATCAGTTCAACGAAAGTACCAAGTACCCACAGTATACACAGTCTATGGAAAAATAATTTATCAAAAATATAAATAAGTTACTCTTATTTACACCCCCAGGATTACAATGAACAATGTATGTTTTTTTTAACCAATGTTCCTCACATCACTTAGCTGCCTGTTGCAGAGTGGTGTGGCTGCGTTGGTATTCTGCTTATTCCCTGCCTTTAAAGCTGCATCTCTTCTTGCTTGCTCAAGCAGAACTCTTGCTCTTTCTTTGAGTTCTTCTTGTCTGGATAACATTCGATGCTTAAAAACAAAGATACAGAATTAGAAGCCAAAACAAACAAACAAAACCCCCAAAAAACCATGTAATCCATTTTTGTAAACTAATCAATAGCTATACAATTCGTCAAAATAACAGTGGTCAGGAATAAGATTGTAGTTTTATAAGATTACCTATAGAAAATATTAATGTTGACTAGAAACTGTGGAATGAATACATATATCTTGACTAAAAGGAACTATACCTTTACTGGCTAAAACTGGGTTAAATTTAATTACATTTTCATTAGAACATAGTCTCATAAGGTATAAAGTCCATACACATATTATATACATTCTTCAAATTTGCTAATCACAGTATAATCTGGCAAAGACATTTTTTCAAGTTCGTAGTTTTATTTTTATAGTTGTATAGAATTGATAACAAGGTGTCTTCCAAATCTGCATTTTGAAAGATTTTAATTATCTGTGGTAACAACTCTTTAAATTCTTGACAATTTAACGTTTATAGAAAATTCAAAGCTATAGTATTTTATTTAAAGAAAAATAGTACTGTTTTTCTCTATGGCTCACTTTCCTTACAACAATTAAACATTAGAATTAGAACAGTATTTTCTTGGATTAATTTGTAATCTTACAATATATTTTTGGAGAAAAACAGGTAGAACCTCAATGGAAATCAGCTCTTAAACGGTGGCATTAATCCAAAGCACAAATATTCATACTGTGTATAGTTCAAATTCCTTTTCTCTACTAAAGTAGCCAACTTCTGACTTTAGATGGCTATGACTATGACTTTAATACTTAAGTTCTTTTAATTCCTTTTCTTTGCATAGTTTTGGTTCAGTCATAATTATCATTCATGGTCAAGGAAGAGGTAATAAACAGCAACCTATTACTTTATTTGGTAATAATGTGAAACTTAAAAAATTTAGTACATCAAAAAAAAATTTAGTACATCATTTTTGGGTCTCTTTGTGACCTTTATATTTTGATACAGCAAATTTTAAACTTTTTTCTGTAATTTTAGACAAAGATTTTTCTTGAAGTCTACAATTCAGTGATTTTTTTTAGTATATTCACAAGTTTGTGAACCATCAACACTAACTAATTCCAGAACATTTTCATCACCCAAGGTTTTAAGAGGATTAAACAAAAATTCTTAACTTAATAGATACAATTGAAATGTATAAGCGATAATGAAAGATTTTTAGCTCATACTGATAGGACATAATAGAACAGAGTTCATAACTGCATTTGAACTGGTTACAAATCAACGTATTCTCAAAAAACAGACAAAATTAATTAAATGAACGCTGAATTGGCAGTCAAGACTGTTAATCCTTCTTCCACTAATAATAAGCAATGCAACATTGAACAGGTCACTTAAAACCATTACATGATATTTAAGAACTCTGAAGTCAGACAGACCTAGTTCCATTACTTGAGTAACTTGTGAGCAAGCTGCTCAATCTCTTTAAGCCTCAGTTTCCTTATTTATAATATGGGGATAAAAATAGATCAACTCTCATAAAGATATTGTAAAGATTAAGTGAAAGAGAGTAACGTAGTGAGCACCAGATAAATGTTAACTATTAATATATTTTTAAAAATCTCTCAATTTCCTCATTTTTTAAATGAAGGGAGATCATCTTTAAAATCCCACTCACTGGGAAGCAGCCGCATAGCACAGGGAGATCAGCTTGGTGCTTTGTGACCACCTAGAGGGGTGGGGTAGGGAGGGTGGGAGGGAGACGCAAGAGGGAGGAGATATGGGGATATGTGTATATGTATAGCTGATTCACTTTGTTATAAAGCAGAAACTAACACACCATTGTAAAGCAATTATACTCCAATAAAGATGTTAAAAAAAAAATCCCACTCACTGTAAACTTTTCAAATACTTAGAGTAGATCATCTTAAAGTTCCCACTAGCTCTAAATTCTGTGATTATACAGTCCTTTAGGGATTCCAATCAGCTACACAGACAGTGAAAAACTGCTTTGGTCTTAAGAGTACATAAACACAAAATTTTTTTCTGATTAAAATGCAATTCATATTCATCATAGAAATTTTAGAAAATATATAAAAGTAAAAAGAAGAAAAATAAAAGCATGACCCTCCTTGATTTCAAACTATATCACTATTACAAAGCTATAATATATATGCCAGTATGATACTGGCATAAAAACAGACACATAGATCAATGGAACAGAACAGAGAGCCCAGAAACAAACCCATACATATATGGTCAATTAATTTACAACAAAGGAGTAAAAAAATATACAATGGAAAATGGTGTTGGGCAAACTGTATAGCCACATGCATTGTAATATTATCTACCTACAAAAAAGGATTAAATCTTGCCACTTGTGACAACATAGATGGATCCTGAGGGCATTATGCTAAAAGAAATGAGTCAGAGAAAGATACCCTATGATCTCACTTATATGTGGAATCTAAAAAACAACCCGTCCCGCCCCCACAAAAAAAAAATCCCTGAAACCAAGCTCGCAGATACAGGGAACAGATTGGTGTTTGCTGGAGGCTGGGGGTGGGCTAAATGAGTAAAGGGGTCAAAATGAGTATGTCATGGGAATATAACATACAACATGGTAAATATAGTTAATAACACTGTATTGCATATTTGAAGGTTGCTAAGAGAGTAGATCTCCAAAGTTCTTATCACAAGGAAAATAAAAACTTTTGCAACTGTGTATGGTAACTGATATTAACTTGGCTTATTGTGGTGAACATTTTACAATAGATACAAATATTGAATCATTATGTTGTACACCTGAAAATAATACAATACATGAATTACAACTCAATTTTAAAAAAAGAAATATTTTTTAAAAATTAGCAATCCCGGCACCCAGGGATAATCATTGTAGAATCATGCTTTTTTCCACTTAATAGTCTAAATATTATGAGCATTTTCTCATATCCTTAAATATTTCTTTGAAAACATGATTTTAAACTGTCTACCTAGCATTCTATTAATATGAACATGTCATACTTTAACTTGTCTTATATTATTGGATATTTAGGCTGTTTATAATTTTTTACTATCATAAACAATGCTTTTGTGAACATCTTTATATGTAAATTATTGTATACAGTTCTTATTATCTCCTTAGGGAAAAGTCCTGGAGAATCTAATGGGGTAAACACTGTTAAGGGACTTAATGTAATTGTTGATTATTTTACATCTGGGCTATAATTATTTTTAGTGCTGTTATGGCCAAAACCAAAGAGATATTGTGAGCATAAAGTTCAGGGGCACAGACTTTGAAGTCAGACAAGGCTGGTTTTGAATTCAAACTTTTAACATTTATTATATGACCTTAAGGCAACTCTGTAGATCTTGGTTCTCCCATATATGTATAACAGGCACCAACCACTCACCTCATGGGTTGTAAAGTCTGAGATATGTGTAAGATATATAATGGTCATCACATGTATCAGCCACTCAAATGGGCAACATTCTGACTTGTTAAGCCTATACAGTCACATTAAATTATCAAATTTCCTCTAATCAGAGGCTATTAATTATTAGACTCACTATTATTTTATGAGTTTCTAAGAAAGAACACTGTCAGTTAAACTCTAACATATTATTATAAGTAACATCTTGATTTCAGAAAAGTTAAAATGTAAAAAATGTATGTCTTAGAATCAATAAAATACAGTATACAAAAGAAAAACAAAATTTAGCTACAATATAAAACTTATCAAGTATTAACACCTATACTACAATTTTCGGTACCAGGCAATGAACACTTCTGCCAAAAATTTTAAAAAATTTACCCTAAGCAAAATTCTAACCAGTAAACCAATTGCCAACAAATAAACATATATGGAGTTGTAAATAGATGCTCCTTCTATCATCCTGTGGATTTACTGTACATCACTTAAATCACCTGAACAGAATCACAGCACGACAGAGTTTTAGAGTTTAAAGGGCTCTCAGAGATTATTTCATTTAACATACTTAGAAAATAAGATTTAAAGAATTTAAATGGCTAGTTAACATGTCACACTGGTAATTACTGGAGCCAAGATGAGAGCCAAGATAAGAATCCCGGTTTACTGAGTCATAATTCAGAGCATTTTTAAACACTAATCAATTTCCAGATTTAACTAAACATTTTTACCTTAAAAATCTGGTTTACGAGAAAAATCTGTATTGATATTCAAATTTAGGCTCACCAAATTCTGCAAATGTCAGTCACTATATGTTTAATGATTATCTACTCTGTAGGGACACTATGATACTCTGAAAGTTTAGGTACTTAGAACATTTGATTTGAGATTTCTGATTAGGAGAACAGGGGCTTGCTTTGTTAGCTATTATATTTCTTTGATTCTAAGATGCACATTTTAATACCTCTGAAAACAAAATTGATGACATTTTATATCTCTGTCATATAGGTGGTAGTTAAGACATAGTCATCAGTACCTACACATGCATGTGCTTGATAATTCTGGTGGCAAGACTATAATTCCTTGATGTTTCATTTAACAACCCCTTGAGTACTATTTGAGAATGCAACAGAACTCCAGGTTATTGTCTGAAAATCTTTTGTTAGGACCTACCAGAAAGGTTAAGAAAGTGCTATTGGGACTTCCCTGGTGGCGCAATGGTTAAGAATCCGCCTGTCAATGCCAGGGACACGGGTTCAAGCCCTGGTCCAGAAAGATCCCACATGCCGCGGGGCAACTAAGCCATGCACCACAACTACTGAGCCTGTGAGCCACAACTACTGAGCCCACATGCCACAACTACTGAAGCCCATGTGCCTAGAGCCCATGCTCTGCAACGAGAAGCCACTGCAATGAGAAGCCCACGCATCACAATGAAGAGTAGCCCCCACTCACCGCAACTAGAGAAAGCCTGCATGCAGCACCAAAAACCCAACACAGCCAAAAATAATTTTAAAAAAAATTAAAAGAAAGTGCCATTATCAGTGAGTATTACTGAGAAGAAAATCTGAGAGACAACTGTGAAGAAATGCTGTAATTCAGAGGTTCTCAACCTTTCTGGTCTCAGAATCCCTTTATATGCTTAAAAATTGAGGATCCCCAAAAGCTTTAGCTTATGTGGGCTACATCTATAGATATTTGTCATTTTGGAAATTAAATGGAAAAAATTTTTTTAATATTTACTTATTCATTCCTTTAAAATAGCTATAATAAACCCATTAGATGTTAACATATTCTAATAAAAATAACTACACTAAAAAACAAAACTGAGAAGAACAGCACTATTTTACATTTTTTGCAAATCAATCTTTAATATCTGCCTTAATTGAGGGCAGCTATATACTCATATCTACTTCTGTATTCAGTCTCTTGAGATATCACAAACCATGTAGCCTCCAGAAAACACCATTGTACACTTGTGACAGAATGAAAGTGCAAAAGGTAAATAAAGTTCTAGTATTGTTATGAAAATAGTTTCAACTTTGGGGACTCTCGGAAAGAGTCCTGGAGAGCCTGAGAGGTCCCCAGATCATACTTTGAGAACCACTGTTGTAACATCAGGCTTTTGATGGCATAGAGGACAATATTATGTGGAAAAACAGGAACACCGACAACTCTATATCACAAAGTGATTCATAAGAGTTAGAGTCTAAACTCTAATTCTAAATTGATTATACCTTAACCAATTTATTTTGCTAAAAAATTCCTTTTTATGTATACATAAGAGCATTATATGATTAAAAAATCCATGCCTAAATAAGACTAAAAGAACTCTTTCACTAGGTATAAAATAAAAATTCTATGTGATAAGAAAACCATGTATCATAATTTATTGGCAGTGTTTTTCTTTCTTTGTTGTACATAAAATAATGGTATATCTTATCACTGATGGCACCATAGATTCAATTAAATCCATGCCATATTCCCCACATGGGGAGAAATTTCGATGTTACTGGGATTTTTAACCACAAATAATGATGGGACTAAAATTACCAATTGCAATGCAACTAAAATATTTGAAGAAAATGCTGTAAATGGGAAATATTTTAATTTGGCATTATACATTTCCAGAATGATATGCTTACAAAATGGAATACTGAAATAGCTTTGACTTATTCTGTAAAATATTTTTATAGGTTAATAACATTTTGATTTGAAAAGTTGACATTCTTTATTCTTCAATCTTGAAATTGGGATTTATTCATAGGCTTAAAATATTATAAACTTTAAATGAAGAGCAGGTATATTTCAGGTTTTTCTAAAATGGGAAATTATACTTCACCTTTAATCATTTGTAAAGTAGTCTATGAATACAAAAAGAAACAACAAAAAAGAATAACTATTTACTACATATATGTATTCATCATTCTAACTCACTTACCTGGACTGTTTTTGCAGAATGATTTGCATGATTTAAGATGGTTCTATCAGCATCTGAATCAGACTCTGTCTGCCTCAGGGAATTACGTTTTTTCTTGGCAAGGTCTGCATCTCTATTGTACGAATATCCAAGTTTAGAAGTGGGAGATAAACTTGTTTTTTTCACAGGTGATTCAGGATCTGATCTGCATTCTAAGGGTCTGGAATTCTCTAATTTTTCTTGCTCCAAGTTACTACTGATGTCTATATCCTGAAGCTTTTGCTCATCGGTCTCCTCACAAATAAAGGGTGGAGACACATCCTTCTTCTTATCACTATTGTATAAGTCACTTAATTCTAAAGTCTCTGTTTTCAATAGTCTCTTCTTGCCTAACAAAACTTGTGCATGGTTTGAATCTGTACTGTAACATATTCCAGGGTCATCGGATCCTGAAGTCCTTCCAGAGCTCTGCTGGGACTTTTGGGGTTCTGTGTCACTTTTAGTCCTGCGACAGTAAGGGGAGGCTGTGCTTGGACTGAGATGATCATCAGGAGTCTGGTGTTCACTTTCTGACTCTCCAACCCCACTATCATTTACAAATACAGAGTCATCCTGGGATAAGAAGTCTACCCCTCCGCTGGTAGGCTGCTGCAGTTGAGGCTCCCGTTTCAGATCACTAAGCTCTGCATAGAATTTTTCCTGATCAACAGAACTATTTGTATCTGTTTCATAGTTTCCAACTTTATATGTGCTTTTACTGCTATTTTCTTCTATTTGAACAACATTTAACTCTTGCCCACTGAAATGTGCCCTAATTTGATAGAGATAGGTCATAACAGTCAGTTTGTCAGGAATTGCTAATAAAACCATATCAGAAGGTTCCAATAACCGGGAAATTCCTATGCTGGCAAATCCATCATATGCCTTCAGAGGAAAGAAAAACAGAAGATATATTGAAGAGTTCCGACAATCCATACATTTTAACTTTTTTAAAGAAACTTAAAACATCATCACATTTTAAAAACAGCAAAATAACAGATGTTAACTAGACTTACTGTGGTGAGCATTTCACAATGTATACAAATATCAAATCATTATGTTGTACACTTGAGACTGAGGTACTGTTATATGGCAATTACACCTCAAAAAAGAGTTAAAAATAAAACACAATTCAGTTACCATTTTAAAAAAACAAGCAAAATTTTACTGGCTTTTTGTTGCTATTGGAGGGTACATTATGTTACTGACATTATGCCACTGACATTATGCCACATGAACAGAGCAACATTCCAAGTTGGAAATTTGTAAAAGTTTGGTAGATCCAAGAGTAAAACATTTTTATTAGTTAATAACAATTGAAATGTTCTTCTCCAATAAAGAAAACAAGCAAAAATGAGAGTTAAAACAAACAAAAAAACTTAGAATAGACTTTTGTGATAAAGAACTAGGATATAAAGAAATAATAATTCATCTGGAGCTTTATTGTTCCTATTAACCCCTCTTTTCAGTGGTCATGTAATTGCAGTGATTTGTGAAGATAAAGTACAGGTAGATATCCCAAAAGAACTAACTCCTAGATTGCCCGGTATAAAATATAAGTAAGTGCTACTTAAGTCTAGAAACATAGAAACATTTTTAAAACACCCAATTAAGATTGATTTTCATAATGAGAAGAGTGACTTCATTTTCACTTCATCCATTTTGGAAAGAAGGAAATGTTTTGAGTAGTACAACCTAGTTTAGAATGTGAGGCTGCATTGTATAACTTTGTTAGCCTTTAAATGACTGTGGCACATCAGGTTTTTCTAGTTTTGAAGAATCAAAGCTGTTTCTCAATTTACAATTAATTATTACTATCCTGAACTAACCCTTGAAAACAGCATTGTGTTGCTAGGAAGCACTAAAAATATGGCTAAACATTTAGATATACTCTTGGAAAAACTAAGGGCCCTCTAGTTATATTCTTGCTTTGGGATATAAAATGTCTCATCTTTGTAACAACCCAGATATAGGATCATAACTCAAAGTTTTTCTAAAAAGAAAGTTTAGGAAATTATGTAACAATTCAGAAGGAATCAGTCTTTTGCATATACATGTTACAGTGCATTTCTACCTTTGAATTTAATTCTTGTATTCTTCCTGTAGTTTAATAAATGTTATGGAATAAGAAAGAAAGTGAAAAATAAATTGTGATATTAAAACCTCTTCAATTTTCACAGCACTATGCTTTATAGTATAGGTACCTCAAAATATTTACTTGAGAGAATGGCTCAGTTGGTGTGCATGTTTGGGCCTGTTTGTTATTTTACATGTTTTAGGAAAATTAAAGTCATTTTCTTCCTCATGAGTCCTGACAACTTGATTGACAGACATCAATTGTAGACCATCAGGAAAAGCACCACAGGCAGTATTCTAAACATTTCCCAATTATCTAAAACACTGACATATTGGTTAAGATCAGATGTCACAGGTAAATACCATTTTTATTCAGCACTTTTTACAGACCTGGGAAAATGATTAGCTTACTTGTGGGGAATCACCTGCTGGTATTTTGTTTCATGTAGCAATTCATTTTATGCACACTAATTGCACTAAAAGAAATTTAAAAACAAACCAGATTTCTTGTAAGTGAGGTCAAGACTTTATAAAGGCATTTTCCCATAGGTTAACCTCTTCTGCGATAGTCAATTACCTACTGTCTTTTTAGCTGCGTGTGGAGAAAAAAGAGGTCTTTAAAAGAAAATAGTCTTATTCATTGCTAGATGTTATTTAATTGGTAAGGAGTCACTGCCAGTTATGTTATGCATCTGCATGGAACTTAAGACACAGGCATTGTTTCTTGTACTGTTTTAAGTCCAATTAAGAGCAGATGGGGTTACCCGGAAGAACTGTGTAAAGCCAGAAATAAGTCTGTAGGTAGCAAATGATACTCAATGTAGATATCAGGTAAGAAGTTGTGGGACTTCCCTGGTAGTCCAGTGGTTAACGCTCCATGCTCCCAATGCAGGGGCCTAGGTTTGGTCTCTGGTCAGGGAACTAGATTCTGCATGCCACAACTAAAGATCCCACGTGCCTCAATTAAGACCCAGAACAGCCAAATAAATAAATAAATGTTAAAAAAAAAAAGAAGTTGCAAAGTGACGAAAAGGAAAGTATAACAACAATTATGTATTGACTTGTGCAATGAATGGGATCATCTAAATTAAAATCCTTTCAAAAAGCTATAATTGGGACTTCCCTGGTGGCGCAGTGGTTAAGAATCCACCTGCCAATGCAGGGGACACGAGTTCGAGCCCTGGTCCGGGAAGATTCCACATGCTGCAGAGTAACTAAGCCCATGCGCCACAACTACTGAGCCTGCACTCTAGAGCCCGTGAGCCACAACTACTGAAGCCCATGTACCACAACTACTGAAGCCCGTGTGCCTAGAGCCCAGGCTCTGCAACAAGAGAAGCCACCACAATAAGTCCATGCACCACAACGAAGAGTAGTCCCTGCTGGCCACAACTAGAGAAGGCCCGCATGCACCAACGAAGACCCAAGGCAGCCAGAAATAAATAAGTAAATTTATTAAAAAAAAGCTAGGGCTCGCCTGGTGGCACAGTGGTTGAGAGTCCATCTGCCGATGCAGGGGACATGGGTTCGTGCCCTGGTCTGGGAAGATCCCACATACCGCGGAGCGGCTGGGCCTGTGAGCCACGGCCGCTGAGCCTGCGCGTCCGGAGCCTGTGCTCCGCAATGGGAGAGGCCACAACAGTGAGAGGTCCACGTACCGCAAAAAAAAAAAAAAAGCTATAATCATCTGCCCTTTAAGATTTAATTGAGAAAAAATTTTAATGAGATATATTTCTCTTTGTAATAATATATAAATCCAAGGTATGTTCATCATTATTAAATTTCTGAAGAAAATAATGTAAAGAAGTATAACTTAAGCCCTAATGAGATTCCTCACACTCTTTAAAAATATATAGCTAGGTGAAATAAAAAATGTTTGCTTTTCAAAATTTTAAACAGTAACTTGAAAGCTTCACTTTATAAAAAATAATAATGGTTTATTTTCTAATGCTCTTGTCTGCATTTAAATTTGCTTATTCAAATGCAAGAAAATGCAGGTAAAGAACTGTCATATCTAAAGATACAGTTGTCTCTTGGTATCCATGGGGGACTAATTCCAACACCCCCTGCAGATATCAAATCTGGGGATGCTCAAGTCCCTTATGTAAAATGGTAGAATACAGCCAGCCCTCTGTATCTGTGGGTTCCACATCCATGGACACAGAGGGCCAACTGTATAACTTAATTGACGAAAAATAAGGCATTTTGCTTTGACAGACACAGGCTCTTCAAAATCATACAAGAAATAATTCAAGAGAATGTCTTATTTTGAAGCATGATTTCTATAAAGAAAATTATACTGATTTTTAAAGATTATCTTTTCTAATAGCATATTTCAATTAAAAAAACTGACTGCTTTTAAATGTTTTTCTCTGGAGCCAGCATCATGCATTTGCAAAGAAACAAGAATTCTTTAATGGAAATATAAATTTTTGGTTTTAGAGAGCAATAAAAGTAAAAACAAAAGTTGATTTAAATTCTCATCTGTTAATTGAACTTTTATCAAGGTTCCCTTTATAGTCTTTTTCTCACTGGTGGTTTTAACTATTTAAAGTAAATTAAAAACTTTAGCCTAGACTAGAGGTTATTAATGACTTTGGCCCATGAATTCTTTTGGCAATGAACCCCTTCTCAGAATAATGTTATGATGTGTATAAAATACATATGATTACTCTTTTGACAAAATTCAGCACACAGTTTTGATAAAAACTCTCCAGAAAGTGCACCTAGAGGGAACCTACCTCAACATAATAAAGGCAATATATGACAAAGCTACACCTAACATCATACTCAATGGTGAAAAGCTGAAAGCATGTCCTCTAAGATCAGGAACAAGACAAGGAGGTCCACTCTTGCCACTTTTATTCAACATAGTTTTGGAAGTCCTAGCTACAGCAATCAGAGAAGAAAAATAAATAAAAGGAATCCAAATTGGAAAAGAAGAAGTTAAACTGTCACTGTTTGCAGATGACATGATACCATACACAGAAGATCCTAAAGATGCTACCAGAAAACTACTAGAGCGCATCAATGAATATGGTAAAGTTGCAGGTTACAAAATTAATACACAGAAATCTGTTGCATTTCTATACACTAACAACAAAAGATCAGAAAGAGAAATTCAAGAAACAATCCCATTTACCATCCCATCAAAAAGAATAAATTACCTAGGAATAAACCTACCTAAGGAGACAAGAGACCTGTACTCTGAAAACTGTAAGACTCTGATGAAAGAAATCGAAGAAGGCACTAACAGATGGAAAGATATACCATGTTCATGGATTGGAAGAATCAATATTGTCAAAATGACTGTACTACCCAAGGCAATCTACAGATTCAATGCAATCCTTAACAAATTACCAATGGCATTTTTCACAGAACTAGAACAAAAAATCTTAAACTTTGTATGGAGACACAAAAGACCCCAAATAGCCAAAGCAATATTGAGAAAGAAAAACGGAGCTGGAGGAGTCAGGCTGACTTCAGACTATACTACAAAGCTACAGTCATCAAAACAGTATGGTACTGGCACAAAAACAGAAATATAGATAAGTGGAACAGGACAGAAAGCCCAGAAATAAACCCACGCACCTATGGTCAATTAATCTACGACAAATGAGGCAAGACTACACAAGGTGGAAAGACAGTCTCTTCAACAAATAGTGCTGGGAAAACTGGACAGCTACATGTAAAAAAATAAGCTCAAAATGGATTAAAGACCTAGATGTGAGACTGGACACTATAAATCTCCTAGAGGAACACATAGGCAGAACACTCTCTAACATAAATTGCATCAATATCTTTTTCGATCTGTCTCCCAGAATAATGGAAATAAAAACAAAAATAAACAAATGGGACCTAATTAAACTCAAAAGCTTTTGCACATCAAAGGAAACCATAACCAAAATGAAAAGACAACCCACAGATTAGGAGAAAATATTTGCAAATGATGTGACCAACAAGTCTCCAAAATTTAAAAACAGCCCATGAGGCTTCATATTATCCAAACAAACAACTGAATCAAAAAATGGGCAGAAGACATAAATAGACATTTCACCAAAGACATACAGATGGCCCAGAGGCACAGGAAAAGATGTTCAACATTGCTAATTATTAGAGAAATGCAAATCAAAACTACAATGAGATATCACCTCACACCAGTCAAAACGGCTATCATCAAAAAATCCACAAATGATAAAATCTGGAGAGGATGTGGAGAGAAGGGAACCCTCCTACACTGCTGGTGGGGATGTAAATTGGTACAGCCACTATGGAGAACAGTATGGAAGTTCCTTAAAAAACTAAAAATAGAGCTACCATATGACCCTGCAATCCCACTCCTGGGCATATATCCAGAGAAAAACATGGTCCGAAAGAATACATGCACCCCAGTGTTCATTGTAGCACTGTTTACAATAGCTGAGACATGGAAGCAACCTTTATCTATTCCATCGACAAAGGAATGGATAAAGAAGATGTGGTATATATATACAATGGAATATTACTGAGCCATTAAAAAGAATGAAATAATGCCATTTGCAGCAACATGGATGGACCTAGAGATTGTCATACTGAGTGAAGTAAGTCAGACAGAGAAAGAGAAATATCATATGATATCCCTTATATGGGAATCTAAAAAGAAATGATACAAATGAACTTATTTACATAACGGAAACAGACTCACAGACTTAGAGAATGAATTTATGGTTACCAGCGGGGAAGGATGAGGGGAAGGGATAGTTAGGGAGTTGGGGAACAACATGTACACACTGCTATATTTAAAATGGATAACCAACAAGGACCTATTGTATAGTACAGGGAACTCTGCTCAATGTTATGTGGCAGCCTGGATGGGAGGGGAGTTTGGGGGAGAATGGATACATGTGTATGTATGTATGGTTGAGCCCCTCTGCTGTGCACCTGAAACTATCACAACATTGTTAATCGGCTATACTCCAATATAAAATAAAAAGTTAAAAAAATACATATGGTGCTTCCCTGGTGGCGCAGTGGTTGAGAGTCCACCTGCCGATGCAGGGGACATGGGTTCGTGCCCTGGTCCAGGAACATCCCACATGCCGTGGAGCGGCTGGGCCCGTGAGCCATGGCCGCTGAGCCTGCGCGTCTGGAGCCTGTGCTTCGCAGCAGGAGAGGCCACAACAGTGAGAGGCCCGCATACCGAAAAAAAACAAAAAAACCCCCCAAAAAACCCCATATGATTACACAAGAAACCAATTATTGAAAAATAAGTATTTGAAAATATTAGGAAAATGGAATTTGAGAAACAAATGTGCTTCTTATGGATGTACAAACTGCTACAATTATGAAGAAGTGATGAGCTTAAAAGGTAGCGTAGATATTTGCAACTGTAAAGTGATATGAAAATATCTGAGATTCTAAAGGTGAAAAAGTCTCAGGCATGGCTAATACTACAGTGGTTTGTTGTTTAAATTGATAATTGAAGAAAATGCTAAATTTCAGTTAAAGAAATGAGAAAATAATTTTTTTTTTCCCTAGCCATGATCAAGGATCCCCTGAATTCTATCCATAGCTCCCAGGTTAAGAACTCTTGCTCTAAGACAACACTTTTCAGTTGAAGAATTCAATTCAGCAGGAAAAAAAGCATTAAATGAGTACCTGCTGTATGCTGAGATAGGTGCTTCCTCCTTTTTTATGTTGTGGTGCACACAGAAAATTGTAATATCGTGCTGCATTTGGGGGTACATAGTTAAGTCAGCCTGCAGCCACAGTCAGCTGGCCCAGAGAGCTCTAGCAGCTCAGGCCTGTGCAGCTACCCTGAGGACTGAAAGGATCAGTATCTTCCCCACACCAATTGGGAAGCTCTGACCTCAGTACATTAATTAATTATGTGGAAAAAAAACTGCACAGTTTACCAGAAAAAGGGGGAAAAAAGGGGGAAAAAAAGAAAAAAAAAAAAAAGAACCAATGTTCAATCTTTTTGCCTCTGGGAACATATGGATTTTTTTTTGCATACCCATCAGGCTCCTGCTTTCATCCCCTCCCAACAGGTTTTTCTAAACTCATGGCACAACAGTTTGGATTGCACTTTTTAAAAGCTAAATCTTGCTAAGAGCTAAATAAAAGCAACATGCTTTAACAAACATTTAACAGTTTATGAAGTTCATACATATTATTATAATCTGATGCCAGTCTGGCACTTGTGATTTTTAAAGGCCATGACAAACTAGAGTAAACCATGCATCCTACTGGAACTTTAGGAAACAGACTACCTTCTGTGAGCTATAGTTAGGACCTCACAAAACAACCTCACTTTCCCCAAATTAATAAATGCCTGAGGAGAAGCCAAAATTGACACTATGTATTTTTTTTCTTTGGCAATTCTTACCTTTTTGTTGTTCTCTTTAATGTCTTGAGGATTCAGAGACTTGTAGTCACTGAGGGAGAAAATGGCACAGTAGGTACATACAGTAATTGATAAAAACAGCTGTTTTTAAAACAAACTGAATCTTAAAATTTGACATTCAATAATACCAAAGAGTAACTAGCAATTTCACAGCAATTCTATCAACAAAACTAATAGTGTGGAAAATTAAGGAAATAAATTAATTAATTAATTAATAAATAACAGTGATTACAAGTTCCAATGCCTGAAGCTTTCCATCTAAAAGAGAAGTTAAGGTAGGGGACCAGAGACTAGCCTGGACAACCAAATTCACCATGAGGTAACCCCTTGTTGTCAATGTATAAAGAGATACAGGCTTATCTGTCTCATCTCATTTTAACACTAACACAATTTTCATAATAATTTGAAGTCAGTTTTTTGTACGAGATTAAGGAAAAAAATATGCTCTTTTAAAACAGAAAAGATTGTTTTTAGGCATCAAGAAGGAACAACTTTTCTTTCTGGGATATACTTCTTCTCCCAAAAAGCAAGAGTATGGGTGATAAAAAAAAAAATCAAGTATTTCAGGACATGTGCTAAGAAATTATTTTATGGTTTGTTTCTTTTTTTTATAAAACTTTATTATTTACAAAATATTTATAGGAATGGAAAGTGTTTCTACTTACATTAAATCTGGTCTAAAGTGGTGTAATATTGCACAAAAAGATAAACCATTTCTCCACGATGTAGTAAAATTGGTGATTTTCACTCCCCGGTAATTTTTTGTAACTTCTTTGCACCATACAAGCAATGACTGACTAGCATTTGGCTTTCGTCCCAAAACAGGACTTGGTATAGGACTCGGCTAAAAAAAATGAAAAGAGGAAAACATTAAAATAATTTAATGGAAGTTGAAAATTAACATTAATTGACCTAACTGGATCACTTGAACACTTTGATGTCAGTTTAGGTACTTCAAAACTGTCACTTCAAGACAACTGTAACCTCTAAGAAAGGAGACATGAATCTTAAGTTATTATCTTCAGTTTAAGCCTATGGCGTCTGCTTGACAAAGATATACATATGCAAGATTTTAATGTTATACATAAGAACAGGCCAAGAGCTACATTAATGGAAACATTAAAGTATTTAAATACTTAAGGCTGAATATCTATATAACTCTCACATACTAAAAAAATCTTCCCCAAATGCAATCATGTACAAATATAGTTTCTTTTTGAGTATATTAAAAAGAATGTATTTTGAAGTCTAACTGTAGCACAAATTGTTAGTGGTGAAGAGGTCAAAATAATAGTTTTTAAAAATACAGTAATTGGGAATTCCCTGGTGGTCCAGTGGTTAGGACTCGGTGCTTTCATTGCAGGGGCCCAGGTTCATTCCCTGGTTGGGGCACTAAGATCCCGCAGGCCGCGAGGTGCGACCAAAAAATATATATACATACAGTAATCATACACATTTTAGTGCAATGATAACCATATTCAAACATACTTCTTATATAAATTTAATTCTGGCAAAACAGATTTAGTTATTAGCGACAGTCAGGTGTTGGTAGTAATAGCACACATCAGTATATAATTTGGATTTGCTCCAAATATCTTCTAATTATTGATGGCTACTTTTGGATATTATTAGGTTAGCTAGGTGTGTGGGTGTAGGGGGATGTGTGTTTTAAATCTAAAGCATTTACTTGATTTTTCCCCTTGTTCATATACTTAAAACAACAATGATAACAACAAAACAAAGACTCATAATAAGATTTTTATCCTAAACTTTTGTTATTCTTAAAACCATGTCATTTTCTTTTACTGAATAACAATCACATTTTGTGATGGTAACTTTAGAGATTGATATAATTGAAAACTATAAAAAAAACTACTAAAAGTTTCTAGACTTTAAATATTGCTATCAATTAAGAGTGCTGTCTATAGACATAAATAGAAGCCCTCTAAAATAAGGTGAAAGGAGAACAATTATTTACCCCTAATATCATTTGAGTTTAACAAGCAAACCATTCTTGCCACACAGCTTACTTAAGAAAGACCAATGATGCCCCCATTTGACAAAAGGATGTTAGTGCCATACAATTTAAATCAACCCCACATAATTATGATTTATGTATTCACTGCTCCTGTGGGAAGACAAGTAAGAAACACCAAGAATGTAATTTCTTACTTTTTATTAACTGTCTGATTAACAAATTGTTATATAAACAACCATGAATCTAGCAAAGCGTTGTTCTTTAAATGATCACCTATACAAAGTCAATGTTGAAAAATTTCCAGGTCATAAAAATCAGCAAATTTGGGTTAGTTTTACTTCATATGAAGAAGTAGATAAAAAATAGAATCCCCAATATAGGAGGATATTTACCTTAGAATAGATGATAGCTTTTTTTTTAACATCTTTATTGGAGTATAATTGCTTTACAATGGTGTGTTAGTTTCCATTTTATAACAAAGTGAATCAGTTATACATATACACATATCCCCATATCTCTTCCCTCTTGCGTCTCCCTCCCTCCCACCCTCCCTATCCCACCCCTCTAGGGATCACCCTAGATCAGCACCGAGCTGATCTCCCTGTGCTATGCAGCTGCTTCCCACTAGCTACCTGTTTTACGTTTGGTAGTGTATATATGTCCATGCCACTGTCTCACTTTGTCCCAGCTTACCCTTCCCCCTCCCCGTATCCTCAAGTTCATTCTCCAGTAGGTCTGCGTCTTTGTTCCCGTCTTGCCCCTATGTTCTTCACGACCATTTTTGTTTTGTTTTGTAGATTTAGATTTTTAGATATATGTGTTAGCATATGGTATTTGTTTTTCTCTTTCTGACTTACTTCACTCTGTATGACAGACTCTAGGTCCATCCACCTCACTACAAATAACTCAATTTCATTTCTTTTTATGGCTGAGTAATAGTCCATTGTATGTATGTGCCACGTCTTCTTTATCCATTCATCTGTTGATGGATGCTTAGGTTGCTTCCATGTCCTGGCTATTGTAAATAGAGCTGCAATGAATATTGGGGTGCATGTGTCTTTTTGAATTATGGTTTTCTCAAGGTATATGCCCAGTAATGGGATTGCTGGGTCGTACGGTAGTTCTATTTTGTTTTTTAAGGAACCTCCATACTGTTCTCCATAGTGGCTGTATCAATTTACATTCCCACCAACCGTGCAAGAGGGTTCCCTTTTCTCCACACCCTCCCCAGCATTTATTTTTGTAGATTTTTTGATGATGGCCATTCTGACTGGTGTGAGGTGATACCTCATTGTAGTTTTGATTTGCATTTCTCTAATGATTAGTGATGTTGAGCATTCTTTCATGTGTTTGTTGGCAATCTGTATGTCTTCTTTGGAGAAATGTCTATTTAGGTCTCCTGCCCATTTTTGGATTGGGTTGTTTGTTTTTTTGATATTGAGCTGCATGAGCTGCTTGTAAATCTTGGAGATTAATCCTCTGTCAGTTGCTTCATTTGCAAATATTTTCTCCCATTCTGAGGGTTGTCTTTTTGTCTTGTTTGTTTCCTTTGCTGTGCAAGCTTCTGAGTTTCATTAGGTCCTATTTGTTTATTTTTGTTTTTATTTCCATTTCTCTAGGAGGTGGGTCAAAAACGATCTTGCTGTGATTTATGTCATAGAGTGTTCTGCCTATGTTTTCCTCTAAGAGTTTGATAGTGTCTGGCCTTACATTTAGGTCTTTAATCCATTTTGAGTTTATTTTTGTGTATGGTGTTAGGAAGTGTTCTAATTTCATTCTTTCACATGTAGCGGTCCAGTTTTCCCAGAACGACTTATTGAAGAGGCTGTCTTTTCTCCAGTGTATATTCTTGCCTCCTTTATCAAAGATAAGGTGACCATATGTGCGTGGGTTTATCTCTGGACTTTCTATATTTCTGTTTTTGTGCCAGTACCATACTGTCTTGATTACTGTAGCTTTGTAGTATAGTCTGAAGTCAGGGAGCCTGATTCCTCCATCTCCATTTTTCTTTCTCAAGATTGCTTTGGCTATTCAGGGTCTTTTGTGTTTCCACACAAATTGCAAAATTTTTTGTTCTAGTTCTGTGAAATGTGATAGCTCTTTTAACTATCAATCTAGCATGTATTAAAATGACACCCCCCCGCCCCCGGCCCTGCACTGTAAGGCATGTGGGACTTCCCCAGCCCGGGATGGAACCCATGCCCCCTGCAGTGGAAGCATGGAGTCTTAACCACTGAACCACCGGGGAAGTCCTAAAATGAACTATTAAATATGTAAAAGTGACTTTTCATAAAGGCAATCTTTTAAATAATGGAAAATCTTTTCAAAAATGTGTTTGTGACTAGTTCATTGATTCCCTGGCTCGTCCACAGAGCATTCTTCACTGCAGTTCCAGATTAAGTGAGTAGAGGGATTTGAAAGTCACAGTGAAAAGTCACTTTTAGGTAAAAAGATATTTTCAAATCCCTCTAGCCAAGGATTCAATGAACTAGGCACAAACACATTTATTTAAAAGATTGCCTTTATTAAAATGTTTTTCTATATCAAATTATACTATTAAGGTATTGATTAATTTCAAGCATGTGTAGCATGTACACAGGCCAGATAATCTGCAACTATCGTTACACCGATTAATTCTAATCATCAATAGCATGTACATAAGTAAAGTACAAATGCCATTGTCACCATGCTGTAATCTAGAGTGGCTTTCTGTACTTAAAAATTGAGAAAAACCTACCATGTCATTATGATTATGAATATATTCTTGTTTCTAAGAAGGCTCAATATGAAAAGGCTAGAAGAACTAAAGTAAACTTTGGATTTATCCTAACACAAAACCCTTGTATTAAAACATCTCACAGGGATGCTTATTGCACTGCCAGGAAAAAGAAGTCATATGTAATGGAAGAAACTGATGAAATTATAAGCCCTATAAATGATCATGTTGGTTGCAGACAAAGAAAACTGAAGTAGAACCACTGTTTGATGAATCATCCACTTCAGAAGGGCTGAGCTTTCATCCGATATTTTGCAGAGGGTAAGAAAGAAAGAAATAGTTATATCATTTCAAAACCTTCAGTATATAAATGGATGAAACTGCTTGTTTCTTGCTACAGACGGCTCCTGATTTTGTATGTGGCAGCTTCCTTGACTTCCCTATGTCTCAGCTTCCTCATCTATGAAATGGGGGATTGTAATGATACTTGTCTCACAGTGCTGTTATAGTAACAAGATCTGCCTTCCTTGCCTTCCACCCATTATGCTCATTACCACTCTCTCCCTTGATCACTCTGAACCAAACTGACTTCTTTGCTGTTCCTTGGATACCCCAGATGGGGTCCCACCTTAGTGCCTTTACACAGATTGTTCCAGTTGTACGATTAACTCCAATACAACCATCTCTATCAGGCCTATTCTGACCACCCCATCTAATAATGCAACCCATCTCTATTGCCCAGTCCCAAACCAGCACTCCTGACCTTCCCTTCCCTTACTCTGATGTTTCCATAGTATTTATAATCTTCTTATAGTCCACATACTTTATTTTGGTCATTACCAAAATATACTTATTGGCTATGTTTATTGCTTATTACCTGTCCATCCTCAGTAAATAAAAGGGCTATGAGGGCAGGGATTTTAATTTGTTTTGTTTTTATTAACCTATCCCAGAACAGTTCCTGGCATATAGTAGGTACTCAGTAAATACTGTTAAATGAATAAATGCATGCAAAACATTTAGCACAAAGTACAGCACATAGTAACCATTTGGTGAATGTTAACTGCAATTATAAATACTACCACTGATACAGTATCAGCACTTGAATTCCTATTTTTGAGGGTCTTTTGGAAATTTGAATCGCCATGAA